CCCCCCCTCTCTCTCATTTCTCTCTCTCTCTCTCTCTCTCTCTCTCTCTCTCTCTCTCTCTCTCTCTCTCTCTCTCTCTCTCTCTCTCTCTCTCTCTCTCTCTCTCTCTCTCTCTCTCTCTTTCTCTCTCTAAGAAATCTGAGACCTTTATATACAGTATATATAGTCATAAGTTTACACATTTTATATTTAGTCACTTTTATAAGGAAAGTCACAGAGAAAGGTTCGTGCCCCCCCCCCCCCCCGCCAGCCACCGCCATCGGCTGAATTCCCTCGCGCGTCCAAGTGCCATATGATGCTGGATGATGGCATCCACGCCTACCAAAGAATGTATAAAAAACAGAAATGAGAAGATGGATGCAGATAAAAAATAATATTACAGATGAGAAGATGAATGCAGAAGACACAATAACCCTTTGTCACAGAAGTATAGAGCTCTAGCGCCGGGCTTCGGGCTTTTCTTCCTCTTTAGTCAAGATGTATTTTGCTTTGTCGCCTTTTTGACAAGGGAAACCTGTCTCTCACACGAAGAGACTCACTCAGGTCGTAGGAAGATATATATTCACTGTAGGCGAATACCACGAGTTTTTGTTCTTGACGTGAAAGATTAATGACGGAATTATCCACCGTGTTCGAAATGAGGATGGAAATGCAATGCGCGGCCGCATCTCAGCAAACCTCCACAGGTGGACACAAATCCAGTGAAATGAGGAGGAAAACGAGTGTTTATGATAATACATTCACGAAACTTCTTTACCAGAGAAGAGTGAAAAGAGTTTTTTATTCAAGGATCCTCTCCTTCACACTAAGCTGTATTTTTGCACTCCTTTTGATGTGTTTAGAGATAAGTTAGCTTTTAGACTTGAGAGATATGACTTATAAAAAGCAACATGTAGTGCTGAGTATTATGACACGATCCTGTGATTTAAGGTAAGGACAGATGAATTATTATAATGAAAGAGTAACTTATTTTTGTTTACTATTTCTACGAGCGTGAGTCAGTGTTCGTTTGCCTACGAGCCTAATGTTAGTTGACTGTACATTCTATTATAATGGTTTACAGTTGTGGGGATTAGTCATTTACACTTACCAGAAGATTATATGTTTATGTGATATTTATTTGCGATATGTTTTTTTCTAACTTTGGTGTCAAAATTCTTCGTATGATGTGATAGGCAATAAGGTTTTATCATAGTTCGGTAAAATTGCATTAATCTAAATGCACTGTATACCTTAGTAGTCAAAATAAGAATATACAATGTGCAAACAAAACAATAAAATTACCACTTGGTTATGATATTCATTTTCAACCCTTTTTCTCCGTAAGAAAAATATATGGCAGAGAGGCCTCATGAGGCGTGACTTTGGGGGGTCAGCAAATTCGGGGCTAAGGTATAAGCCATGGAGGAACGGAATGGACAGAAGACGGAAGAGTTCGGGTGCGGGGGAAAGGGGAATGGGAGAGGAGGGCATCCATGCAAATAAAAAAAAAGAATAGGTAAACGTGGAGAAGCAAAGGTAGGAAGTAGGGATCATAGGATAATTAGTTTGATAAGGGAAAGTTGGTGGAATCGAGCATAGCATCGGAGGGAGAAAAGGGTGCAGCGTCGACAGAGAGATGGCATGCCTGACTCAGTGTACAGGCTCTCAACTGAAGTGGAGCGGAAGGCGCCTAGGGCTAAGTGAAGACCGCAGTGTATCATGATGAGCAAGAAGAGAGGTTGAGGCAGAGGAATAGATACGGCATCCATAATCGAGAGTGGAGAGGAATCAAGGTAACATGAAGATGGAAGAGAGTTTTACGATCTGAGCCCCAGGATATATAAGAAATAGCCTGCAAGGTTCGGAGGCGGTGGCAAGCTTTTTCTGTAATGCAAAAGATATGATCTCGCCAGGACAATTTGGAGTAAAAATTAACACCAAGGAATTAGCCAGAAGAACGGAATTGTAGTGGAGCGCCATATGAGAAGAGTAGAGGTTGGGGACCTACACGTGCACAAGAGAAAAGGACTGACCTGGCTGAAATAGTCACCTAGTTCATTAAAGACTTGGAGAGGATCAAATATAAGGGTATCTCGAATATGGAGGACGGGGGCTGGATGGGGGGGTGTTTGTCTGATAGTTTATGGATCCGACGCCAGACATCTGAAATAGATGTAGATGTAATTGAGGAAATATAATTTTGACAGCTAGTTGTTTTACTGTTCCGAAATGTACGACGAAGACAGGCGGATGCTCTTTTAAAAGAGTAGTGTCTGCTGTGTCTGCTGATAGCTGATTAGGAGTGCCTTGTTTGTAGTGATAACTGTTCCAGGCTGTGCATTTCAATGAAGCGCTTTGGTGCAATCAGAATTCCACCATTATTTGGAGGTATAAGGTCTTGAGGTTCGAGAAATGGATGTATAGGCAGCTCTTAGGACTGTAACTGTGAAACATTGTAGCATTTCTGAAATGAACGTGAAGGAGGGCGGAGGGGTGGGAATAGTAGAGAATGAAGTGAAAGTATGCCAGTCAGCTCTATCAAAGCACCAGCGTGGGGGGTTAGGAAGTGATACATATAAAGTAGGAGGAAGGAGGACTGGAATGTGGTAACTATAGGGAAAAATGTAAAGAACTGACCGACGGAAATCTAAATGTTGAGAAAACGAGCGTAGAGTGATTGCGTGTGTATGCCAAAGTGTGATGGGCGATCTGAATTAAGAATAAGGAGGTCAGTTGTGAAAAGGAAGCGTCCTAAAGAGCGGCCACGGGAGGTAGTGATAGAATCACCCCAAAGAGTGTGGCGGCAGTTAGAATCAGCAACTACGAGGAAAGGTGGCTGGAACAGGGGTTTGAAAGGGAAGTATGACATGTTTTCTGATGGATAAGTATAGACGAGACATAAAGGGAGTGAGAGGGAGAGACAAAGTAATTGGGGCTGGTATAGGAGGATTTGTAAGAAAAGTCTCTTGGAGACAGATAATGGATGGCCTATAAGAAGAAGGGATATAACGAAGGTCAGGTCTGTGAGGACGGAAACCGTGAATATTCCAATGTAGGAGAGCTATACCTTAGTTGATCTATGGGTGATAACGGTTATTGTGCATGTTGAAGAATTTGAAGGGGAAGGAGCTAGAAGGTGAGATAAGAAATGAGAGAGGAGGATGGATATCGGCTGTCACTTTGAGTGTGGGCGGAGCGGGAGTTGTGAAATTGTTGTGAAACGGGAAGGTGTAGGAACATCTTGGGAGGTAAGGAGAGGGGCAGAGCGAGCGACATTACTGGAGTAGGGAGTGAGAGAAAAACCTTGTCAACGTGCTTCCTGTCTGACTTTACGTAGAGTGAGTCCAAGTTTGAAGCCCCTATAAAATACATTATGGGGGCCGCCACAGTTGGCACATGTGCGTGACTGTGCAGAACCGTTTGATCGGTTATGACCAGGTTGGGCGTACAAAGGCCATTGGACTGTGGAACGGCAGTGTTTGGCAGAATGTCCTAAACACCAACAATTTAGACACTGACGGGGAGGAGGTTGATATGGTCGGACAGGGAGGGATTCTCCACCGATGTAAACATTCAGGGGAAAGTCATGTCTGTGGAAAGTAATTTTGGCTATGTTGGTGAGGTTCTTACGATGGCCTTTAGGAGGAATGGAGTAGCACTGTACTGATATCACGTCATAGTCAGTGAGGCAGGCAAACAACACTTCTCCACAATCTGACCAATTTTGTTATAGACAGAGCTGTTTGTTGGGGAGATGGAGACAGTTCTGGTACAAGTATTGAAGGTTGGATGAGGTTCTGCAGTAATGGGGTTGCCAGAGAGATCAGTTAAGCTTGATAATGCAATAGCTTGCGTTTCAGATGTAACTGTGACGAGACGGGAACAGTCGGGTCGGCTGCGGAAAGAGACCTTGCCTACTTGTTTTGGAGACATTGCTGGAAGAGGAGAGTGTTGTCAGAGGAAGGAGCTATGGGAGGGATCACGAAGAATCGGTCCCGGGAGGGGAAAAAGACCTTGCAAAATCAGTTGAATCGAGGGCTGAGTCCCAAGTCAGGGGGAGATCCCCAGCCTTGGGCCCCAATCCCCGTCTCCCAAGCCCCCACGACAACAACGGGCAAGGGATTGGAAGGCTACAGCTTTCCCGGATTTCATTTGCTGTTGGGACCAATACACTGATTTCAGAAGGGGTGAAGTCAGCTTGATGAAGGCTTCTTCTTTCCTACTGTCGAGATTGTGTCAGCGGTCCAGCTGCTAGGACACCAAAATGACGGTCAGTGTCATTGTTAGAAGCCTCTGGCAGATGTTTTAAAAATTCTAGTTTAAATTTGTATCGTTCCTCTTGGTTGGTCGGCCTGGGTTGAGTCTGCACCCGGATATGCTCGGGAGTTTTTGCTTGCGTTCCGATATCTTGAACTGATCATAACCTAGTCGATTTGGTTTCTGGGCCTATTGCATGTGTATAAATGTATATAATACACACACACACACACACACACACACACACACACACACACACACACACACACACACACACACACACACACACACACACACACACACACACACACACACACACCACACACACACACACACATATATATATTTGTCCTCGTGAAGCACCCTAGAGTGGTCACTGGAGGGATGAGGAGAACTGAAGTTTACTGTAGTCACAACCTGCCTATGGTTGTGTCATAAAACTCAGCACTCCGGTAAACCCTGCAATTCTGGACTAGTGCTGACTAGAATGTGGTCCATCTCCTTGGCTACAGTACCCGCCTGTGGGGTTCCCTTGGGCTTTGCCCCATAGGCCTCGCATTGGACTGGCAGCAGCCAGGGCGCAGGTGGGACGAGTGCCCGTTCCCAACCTGCGCTCCAGCAGTCGCCCTCCCAACGGGACCCACAGCCCCCCTCACTTGCCAGGTAAGAAGGGCATTTACATTTATATGGTTAGTTGCCAGAGTTTTATCTAGGTGGAGGAGGACTGGTAAGTCCCACCTCCCTTCGGCCACATATTGACC